GTGGCGGCCGGAGCCGGAAGAGGTCCCCGCTGGTCTCACGTTTACCACCAACAGCTCGGCCTGCCTGGCGTCGCCCGCAAAGCGCACGAGCACCTCACCCGACGGACCACAGCCCGTGCCGTCGGACAAGCGGGAGTTTCCGTGAACTCGGCCTCTGTGATCAGATGGTGCAGAGCTCGGAGGTCTCCTCTCCGAGGCAGGCCAAGCCCGGGAGCCCGGGAGCCCGGGGAGTGGCTCAGAACCCCCAAACCAGAGCTGCCCTCCCCACGCCCAAACCCTCTCTTTTGACAAGACGATTAAAGCCGTTACTATTTTAGTGATAACAGATGCTTCTTTTAATATTGTTATGTTGTAAGTCCTCACCCACAGGTGTTTGATTTTAGGAGGAGGGAGGAGGAGCATCAGTGGGAGAGAAGCGTCAGTCCGCCGCCTCCCACACGCACCGTCCTGGGACCCACCTGCAACCTGGGGACGGGCCCAGTGGGAATCGCGCCCACAGCCGTGTGGTGCCCAGGACAGTGCTCCGGCCAAGCGAGCCACCGGCCAGGGCACAACGCTTCTTCTAAAAGGAGCTAACATTCCATTTCTCACAGCCAGAGCCCCAGACCCAGCCAAGGCCGCCCCCTGGGTGCACCCCCTGTGCCAGGCACGTGACACCTGTTGTCGCCATAGTCCTCGTTTTATGATAAGTTCAGTTCGGATGGATGGATGGATGGATGGATGGATGGATGGAGAGACACATGGACGGGAGGTGGGGTAGGTGTGCTATGATCCCTGTCATGGGGGCCTTGTCTTTTAGCAGGTGGATTAGACTTGGATAAAGTTCGTTACTAGTGGTCAGACCTGTAGTGTTGGAGTCCAGAGAAGGGGGCCCTGGGGCGGCTCCCCAGAGCTGGTGGGAGCCGAGGGGGAGCCCCAGACCCCAGCTCCAAGGCTGTGTCTCCTCAGGCAAGGGGACCTCCTCCCCTGGCCCTCGGCTGGTGGCGTCTTCTCTCTTCATCATCTCTGGGGAGAGGGCCCGCTCAGCGCCACCTGGGGACTCTCGGCTTCTCGGGGAGCGAGCCCCCCGACAGAGGACTGAGTGTGTCTCTCCCAGGATGGGGCCAGCTGTTAAGAACATGTCTCAAGCTCCTCATTTTAAAAGTCGCTCACAGAGAGGCAGGTTGAAAGCAAAGGCACTGTGGATGTTGCAACTGGGAAATAGGACCTTGGAGACAGAGGGAAGACAGCAGGAGTCACAAAACTGAGTAACCAACTTGTGGCCGCCTCCCAGGGGCAAAGGGGCTGGAGTTGGAGGCCTCTAGGTGGACGGCTAAGTGCAAAGCCCTTTAGGGTCTCGCCTCCCCAGCACGCCTGCACACACATGCACACACATGACCAGGACCCACGTGGCCCACGAGTCACACCTGCATGTCTTTGCCACCATCACATCCCAGGATGGGTGGCTTTGGAAGGCACTGAGCCAAGAGGATTGACTGAATGTCAAGTGAGAGCGGAGGCCAGGGTGACTCTAGCTGCACCTGAAGAACTTGAAGGGTAGTCTTGCTGTTTTGTTTAAGTATATTTTTATTGATTTCAGAAAGGGAGAGGGAGACACATCAATGATGAAAGAGAACTACTGATCAGCTGCCTCCTGCACCCCCACACCGGGGATCAAGCCCACAACCTGAGCATGTGCCCTGACCAGGAATTGAACCCTGACCTCCTGGTTCATATGTGGATGCTCAGCCACTGAGCCATGCCAGCCGGGCTTGCTGTTCTTTTTATTTACTTTCTTTTTATTTTAAATATATTTTTTATTGATTACAGAGAGGAAGGAAGAGGGAGAGATTGAAGCATCAATGATGAGAATCATTGATCAGCTGCCTCCTGCACACCCCCGAACTGAGGATCAAGCCCACAACTAAGGCATGTGCCCTTGACCGGAAACAAACCCGGGACCCATCAGTCCCCAGGCCAATGCTCTATCCACTGAGCCAAACCAGCCAGGGCTTGCTGTTCTTTTCAAAGACAAGGGAGTCACCTGTGAGAAAATCTAGTGTTGGGGAGATGAGGAGCTTGGTCGTTTTGGACAAATATGAGGACTGAGACCTGAATCCACCGTCCCTGGCAACACCCGCAGCAGCTCCTTGAAGGGGACGTGGATGCAAATCCCAGCCCAAGTGGGTGCAAGAGAGAACGTACCCCAGGAGCAGGAGTGAAGACTGGCGCCGTGGCACCTCTAAAGCCTGGGCTGAGGGTGGGGGTGAGGTTCCCTCCCTCCCCCCTCTTGGCACAGGAAGAGCTCAAGGAGGAGGGGCATGGGGCCACCCTGCACCCACGGTCCTACCAGGGCCAGACCCAGCACCAGATCGGCCCACACAGCAGCTGCCTCTTCACACTGTTCTTTCAGAAAGAACCCTCCACGGAACCTGGGGTGCCCGGGAGCAGAACGGAACCCAGGGAACAGAGAGAAGGCGTAGGCTGGGCCTATGTACACTGGATTTGGTAAATTATTTTCTGAAGTCACTGGGGCAGTTAAATGACATGGGACACAAGTCCAGTTTGCAAATCAAAGAAGTTTTATGCGATTCAAAGAAAAAAGTTACATCACACATATTCATTTAAATAAGACGTCAAAGTCTGGTGGTACAGGAAACATAATTCCAAGACATTTCAAATTTTATTACTGAAACCACGTAAAAGGCTCAAAGTCAACAAAGATCAAGCGAAAGTGC